ATTTTTTTTTGTTCAACTTGAGTATTGGTTCAATTAAGGATTTTCATTTGATTCCAATAACACTTTCAAACTGCTTCAATAATTTTATTATTTTCTTTGAGACCGTAGTAACACTACCGTTGCCAGGACCTAAGTCCTGGATGAGAAAAGTGGAGGGTTGCGTTAGGTAGTCGACAGCCAGCGTAAAACTTGTCGAATAATAATAACATGAATCCTTTAAAAAATTGTGTTTGTTGTTGTTGTTTGAGACCGTAGTATCCCATTCCTCATTTTGGATTTATTGTTCTTTTGCTTTCCTTTGGTTGGGGCTACAAAAGAGGACGTGAGCACCCTCATGGAATCTCTCTTTGGGTGAACTAAAATTCTTTTAACAACATGAATTTGACCTTTTATAATTTCTCTTCAACCAATTTTTGAAGATAAAGCTATCTTCAAGTAATGGCTAATTATCCTATGATATGAGCAATAATTAAGATTGTTGATTTGATTAACCACCTCAAGTATTTTACATGCTCGTAGTTGAAGAAATTCTTTTAGGTTTTAGCACATGTTGAAATAATTTTGTTACACTCTTTTTTTTGAAAGAATATTCTTTGTTCAATATTTTTTAAGGGACAAGGTAATTTGATCACCGATTCCCATTGTTTGCTTTGGATGACCCCCTCCAACAAAGAAGATCCGGGGGTTTCCATTTCCTCAAAATGCCAACTTTGGTTGGGGGATGGGGTTAAAAGGTTGCTTTCCTTTATTTTCATTGCAAACATGTTGCTATCCTTTTTCTATATTGTAGGTTACCAATTTCCCTTTCTTAGTACTAAAAGTTGTTCGTGCTTCACTTCTTTTAGGATATGAGGATTTATTTCTTTTGAATTTATCAGGATGACTTGTTAGCTTTTTAAAAGATTTAACTTTTCAAATTTCTCCATCTAATTAAGTAGCTCTTGGAATGCGGTGATACAGTCCATGCTAGATTAGGCACCTTCTTGTCATCGATGTTGCCGTTAACAAATGGATCACATATTCCTCTAATAGTTGTTGCACTGCATGCTTATGTTGCATTAGCAGGTGATGTTTTTAGTCACTAACTCAACTTTTATTCTTTTCTCCAAGGGGAGATTAGCGATAGTTGTTTTCTCCATGACATTGGTGAACCTTCTTATGAACATTGTTTCAAGCTCGGGAAAGGTCTTGACCGAGTTGTTTGGCAAATTGACATATCATTCAAAAGCAATTGATGTAAAATTGTTGACAAACTAACTAAAAAGTAATACATCTAGTATTGCCATAGGGTGCTTTGAACTGAGCTCGATGATGCTTCGATTTGTTGTTGTCATTAAAGATATTGAAACTCGAAATCAAATAACTTTTAGGGTATGACACCTGATCATTCTTGGCAAGATACACACGACTTTTGTTTACTAGTTTCTCCACTTATTCTAGAGCTATGGCAATCTTGATTTCTTCTTAATGATAAAATATTTTGAGTAGGCAGGCGAGTTAAATGATTAGTTTCCTTACCTCCGTCTGGTATACCCTGTACTACAGAGGCTTTGGGTATTGAGTTAATTGGTGGATTGGCCAGATTACTATTTGTCGCCTGATGTTTGCTTGGTGGGATAAGTGTGGGATTAGCAGCAATATTTGTTTATATTAGTTGCATCATCGTAGCAATTTGTGCCATCATCTCATTCATCTTGGTATTTAGTGAAGAGATTTTTTTATTCTTCTCTTTCATTTGGTGTCGTATTCACCTCTGCACTTGTGTCAACATAGTGGTGTCATCAAACAAAGGGTTCTCCTCTAGTTTTTCCTATACATCTCCTAAGAAGAAAAATGGACCTTTTGTCACATCGTATAGTGCTTGTTCTTGTTCTTTAATTTTAACTTCAACAGACCTGGTTTCATGGTGTTGCTACCTTCCTAGCGTAATCGCAGATGTAGCTCCCTGTTGTCAATTATAGATTCGAAAGACGGACTACTCACTTTTATGCTCCCCATGTGGACAACTTCAATACCCATCATCTTATCATCTTCTTCTTCATAGATTTGAATCTCCAAGCGTTGTTTTTTAGTAGATCTCTGATTCATTATATGGGGTGAATAGCTCTTCAGTTCGGGGATGAAATCAAAATTGACCTCTTCTTAAGAGGGTGGTGTTGGATGATGTTGAGATCCCCTAGACAATTTTCTAGGGTGTCAATGAAAAGGGTTTTCTTTTTTCTTTTTTTGTTTGAAAATACTAGAGTCTTCTTCTTAGGCACCCATTGCTGATCTTTGAGATTTTATTCATATGTCATGTTTTCTAAGGTGTCAACCATCATGGGTGTCAATGAAAAGGGTTTTTTTTGTGTGAAAATAATAGAGTCGTCTTCTTAGGCACCCATTGCTGATCTTTGAGATTTTATTCATATGTCATGCCTTTTTTTCTTATAAAATTTTCTTCTAGAGACTATGGTATCTATATTAGCTTTCCCTTTCATTAGGATGATGAGGTCATCGACAGACATATTACCTAGAACGATTTAATCCTTTATTTTATTGGTAATAAAATTAGTTTTGACAACGCTTTGAATAACTTTCATGTTAATTTTCCAAATGCAATTCCTACATTGATTCACATCATAGGACCTCTTGACGGCGGATTTTTGGACATAAAGTCTAAGTCTCACACCTCGATACTCACATTGCTTTGCTTATCTTGATTCTTTCATTATCACTATAGATGATAGCTTTCCCTTGGGGGTCTTCTCAACCTCTGGTTGATTTGCCTTTCTATTTCTTTTTCATGAACTCTCTTTCCTTAATAACTTTAAGGATTCTGTGCACTTTGGCAGATGAAGTCTCATGTTCCTTCTATGGGGTAGGGATTTGGCTTTGTTGGTCCCAAAAAGTTTGCTTTAGGTCATTAGTAGAGCTATTTCTTTTCAAGATTACAAGTTTATTGGGTGGAAATACTTGCTTCTGGCTCCAAAGCAATTTGTGTAAATGGTTGCTCATGGTGCAACTGTTGAGCTTGCAGTTCAACATTTATTCTCCTCTGCCTCCTTGACAATTTTCCTCCAAACTATGAAGCCTTAATATCATGCCTTCACAAAAAGACCAACTAGTAGAGTAGTAGCATTTGTAGGTAGTAAATAGATTTTTTTCCTGACAACATACTCTGCACAACTGGGGTCTCTACTTGAGACAACCTTTCAAAATCTGAGATTCTCTTTCGAGAGATCTCTTGACCAGTAGTGGCTCTAGCTAGTTGCACTCATTGCACAAATAGGTGTGTATGTCATATAGAAGTTTTAGCCAAGTAAGGCCTCTGATAGGTTCATATATAGTCATGCCAATAGCGTGCACTACAATAACCTTGGCATTGGCAGTAGAAATTTGTTAACCACCAAACTAAATGGTGGCTCTATTTTTTCTGAATGAACACTCCATTGTTTCCCTCAACCCCTTCGACCTCATCAATCAAAGGTCTGCCCGTATGTCAGGCTTTAGAGTTTAGACCCTTTAAGAAATTCCCTCCAACACTGCATTTGAAATGTAACGCCCCAGAATCAAATTTGAAAGAATTATCTATTTTATCGGATATCTCCCCCCTCAACCATCCTGACATCAACTCAAATCTTTCCCTATACTCTATGACAGTCCCTTCCCGAGTCATGGTAAAGAATTGCTCGTATCGGTCTCCTTCCCGAATGGCTTGGAAACATCCAACAAGCATTCTTTAAACTCCTCCCAAAGTGGATCAGATATCTAGCCTCCCTCCATTGGAACCAAGTTAGGGCTTTCCCCTCCAAACATAGCTCTTCTGCCATAAGCTTCTCCTCATTTATCTCATTCACCACGAAATACCTCTCCACCCGGTATACCCACCTATGGGCAATCTTTAAATATTGGTATCTTTAACTTCCTTACCTAGCATCTCCACTCCAACTTCCTCTCCCTCCAACTGTTCCCCCTATGTATTGAGGGTGAGAATCCCACCTTTCTTCCCTCCTTGCATGATTCGATTCCCATGACTCGGCTTGACCCCCTCCATCTTCGGTTGCCCATTCCCCTTGCTTGAAATATCTCGCATATATAGTGGTCTGCCATCCTACCACCTCCACCACCAAATTCCCTCCTTGCTGTCTCCCCATTCAGAAACCCTAATTCGCCCCTGATCGGAGCCCTATGAGGTGGCTCTTGATGAAAGAAACTTTCCTTATCGAACTCCTCTCATCCGATCTTCTTTCCCTTAGGTTCAACTAAGGGAATCCTGATCAAATCTTGATTAGAGTTAGCAATTATAACTGCCAGTGGAGTTTTGGTTTGAATCTCCATAAGCTTCCTCATCATCTCCTCCAACCCTTCAAATCGGCTCTCCATTCGATTCTGTATAGCTAAAAACTTTCCTTGATGGTTGTAACTTGATTGTATGTATATAAATTAACAGTCTACAGTTGATTAAGCATCGTCGCTGTCTGTTGTGTTAACAGCTCATTCATACTCTGTGAAGCTTGACCTAAAAGAGACCAAACACAGATCTTATTGTTTACTCATGTTTATATGCCTTGCTCTTTTGTTGATCAGAAGCTTTATAAGAGCTTTATGGCATAGTAGTTATAGCTGTTAATAATACAATTACCATTTGATAATTTATCTGTGATTTTCTTGTATGGAGCCTACTTTTGTTTTCTGCATTTACGAGCGAGTGGTATTAATTTAGATAAATAAGTTGGTTTCTATCAAGTTGTTTATTTACTTTCTTTATGCAAATTTATGTTGTTTTGTTAAAAATATTTTTTACTCGTCTAACTAAAATACCAATTGAATAAAATCAAGCTTTAAGAAAAATCCTGAACATATTTATATTAGAGGATACTATTGTTTCACCGCTTCAAACTAAACCCACTACATCTAGCCAAGGTTCATGAGAGCTTTTAATCTGCCTGAGCTAAATAAGAATAGAAGTAAATAAGCTTAAACTAATTTTTAAAGGTGAGTTATTTTATTTATTTTTTTAAAGAGGGTCATCCAAGCAAGCCAATCCTATATTATCCATAAATTATGTCAGCCATATATCTTGATAACCATACAGTGCCTATCAATTAAAAGATGTGCGTGACATACATAGCTAACCGGCCCTTTTTAAAGGTGAGTTATATTTGAGGTTTGTCCTATCCATATTAGGGCTACTTAGATCAAGTTTGAGGAGAGTATGATTTGGATCAGCTCTTTTATACGAACTTCTATGTATAACATTATCTTTACTTATTGTGCGTTAAGCATATTATTCTTAGGACTGTCGTATATTCTTTTTGGGTTGGATTATCATTCTTAAATGAAAAGCACTTAAGCCAATCATGTATGGCCATCTAACTTTTTGTTCTGGCTTTTCCTTGTCAGGGAACTTACAGCATTCAGATATTTTCTCTGGCTGTTCTTTTGTCTAGCATGTTTATATATAACCAGGTAGATTTGTCCACAATATTGGATCTTCTGTTGCATTTGAATTTAACTTATGTTCATGTGCAAATATTGGATCAGCTTATGCTTGCTAACAAACTCATAGTAACTTACCCCAGTTGCTGTTTTTCATCACATATTAGATGGGTGGTATTGATGAGGCTGCCCTCGATCGTTTATCCCTTGTTACGCAAATGACTAAGCATATCCGCATCCGGGCTTCTGGCGGGAGGTCTTCAACATCTGAGCTGGGGCAGTTTTCTCCTGTGTTTGTCTGGTTGTTGAGGGTACTCATACTTTATTATTTTATATAATACCCCTTTTACTTGCTCTGTAGGATTCCCTTGTTCATTGTTCAACATTTTCTCCAACAATGACATTTTGCAGATTTGAATTTCAATAGCATACTATTTTACAAATTTCAGGACTTCTATTTGGATTTGGTTGAGGAAAGCAGAAGAATTACTCCACGTGACTACCTAGAGCTGGCCTTGAGGCCGGTGCCAGGAGGAAGGGATGTATCAGGAAAAAATGAGGTAAAAAATGAATGCTGAAAAGAGTTTTCTTTATCTCAATCATCTCATGTTGCTCTGAATTTTTATTGATAGATTCGGGAGTCCATTCGTGCGCTCTTCCCTGACAGAGAATGCTTTGCTCTTGTGCGTCCTTTAAATAATGAAAGTGATCTACAACGCTTGGACCAAATGCCTGTATGGATAATTTAGACTGTGACCTCTCACTTTTATTTTATTTTTTTCTAATGCAATATAAATTTTTATGAAGTTAAACTTTTTTCTGATGCAGATTAATAGATTACGACCAGAATTTAGGTCTGGCTTGGATGCTTTGACAAAATTTGTCTTTGATAGAACCAGGCCTAAACAAGTTGGAGCAACTGTGATGACAGGGCCTATTCTCGCTGGTATTACGCAGTCATTCTTGGAAGCCATCAACAATGGTGCTGTACCCACAATATCTTCCTCTTGGCAGGTTTGTCTTGTATAAGTTAAACTCAGAAGCTTGTATGGATAACTTTGCATGCTCTTTGAAGACGATGAGACACGTATACTGTTTAATGGAATATTAACTCTTGTCAAAATCATGGAATATATAAAGAAGTAGATTTTTCATGCACATTTCGGTGCACCAATGGATTTCTTTTTCCCACGGTCTTACAATTATGGCTAATTCTGACAGAATGTCGATGGTAGTCTAAAATTGTTCTCTTTCAGATTCACATATCAAAATTTTTTTTTTTGCAGTTTTCTTTTGCTTGATGCTTATTTCAGTATGATCGTTATATACCTTGCTAGAGTTATAATCCTCCAGGAGGAAGGTACAACTATTTATGTTTTCATTTAATATGCACGGGTATATTGCATTTACAGCCAATATTATAAGGGGGTGAACTCCTGTAATTGCATGCATGCACCTTTTCCCTTTTTATTTATATTTTTTTTTTTACATCTTGTAAGTTATGATTGCTAAGCATTGTTTATTACTTTCATTTATGAGTGTTAAACTTTCATCATTTTGAACATAATAGATTTTCAACATAAATAAATAAATAAATAGCCATAATTTAGTAGCTCAAACTGAAATGATAAATAAAAAATGTAATTACTATATAATAACTATAATTATCCACTTTGATTTTCTCAATTGCTTAATTGTATGCATTAAACATTCAATAACCATTTATGATACTACATGTGATAATTGTAATGATTTCAAAAGAATTTGTTATTGCTATAAAAATAATTCATCATTTTGAACATAATAGATTTTCAACATAAATAAATAAATAAATAGCCATAATTTAGTAGCTCAAACTGAAATGATAAATAAAAAATGTAATTACTATATAATAACTATAATTATCCACTTTGATTTTCTCAATTGCTTAATTGTATGCATTAAACATTCAATAATCATTTATGATACTACATGTGATAATTGTAAATTTCAAAAGAATTTATTATTGCTATAAAAATAATTGTAATTACTCATTTGGTTACTTTCGTGCTTCAATTTATTTTCAAAGCTCAAGCTTGATATAGACTTCCGATACTCGTCTCAGTTCAATTATGAAAACCTTTCACTATTCAAAATGACACAATGATAACACTAAAATCTAATTTGGATGCCTCAAATATCATAAAAAACAACATTAAATTTTCTTACACCTCTTAAGTTAGCACAAATTACTACAACCATTTCCAAAGAGACTTTTAACTAATTGAACAACATTACATAATATTGGATGGCTCTAAATCTTTCACAATTTTCATTGCACTATCCACCTTACTCCCTAACATAATATAAAATTAATTTTTTTTCTCAAATCAAAGATAATTACCTCAATAAAATTTTTCCTCCTTCACCGTCGAATCAAAACTTGCTTCACTTGGATTCTTTCTAACGATAATAATATTTTATTCCTTCAATTAGAGGAATGAAAGTGTATAAGTTTCTTATCTAAGTTGAATGTAAATCAATCACTTACTCCTTCCTCCGTCGTCAGAGATAGAGCAACTTCAAACTCTGAATTCGCTCTCTTTCTCTTCCAAAATTTTTTCCCCTACGCTCAATTGAATCATTTTCCTTTTCACAGGTTTAAATCATAGAAAAGTTTGCACAAAAATGAACAAAATGTACAAACTTTCCTTCCTTCTTCTTCTTCCTCTTGGCATAGTTTCTCTCGATTGAAGCTTCTCACGTGCATTTGATTTCACTCGAGTGAGGGACTCGAAGTTATCTCCCACAAGTAGTTGTTGCTTTTCACTCTCACACTCGACTCCTCACTCAAACATGCGATGCAACCTCGCCAGAGCCTCCCGTGCCTGTGTGTGGTTTCTTTCGGTCTGCGATTCTGCTCTTGCACTCGTGTGACTGATGTTAAATGGTCCAATTCAGTTGAACCGAACCGGCCCAGTTCTTACACATTGATATTTTTTTCTCCTAAAGGAAGACCATTGTTTTCATCCCATATCCTTTGATGTGGTATTCCAACTATTATGCATCCTAATTATCTTGTTTTTTAAGTAGATCAAGGCTGTTTTTCATCCGAAAATAAAGATGCCTAATTAATTCCAAGCAATTTCTATCATGAAGAAGTACTTCAGAGAATCAAGATCTTTCACTTCAAATTATCCTTGTGGCTTTTTGATTCACAAATCTCCTCTTCATCATCATTATCTATAATCACAATATTATGCATGCGCGCAAGAAAGATTGGTTTATTTTCCTTCTTTTTGTAATTGTACAAAAAAAAAAGTGTGATAATCTATCCCTTGTATGCTGACTGATTTAGAGTGGAATTGAATATACTGAATCAAGCACGAGGACATTGTTTTAAGCCATAGAGAGATTTTCTTAGTTTACCAACTTTCCCTTATTCCTCTTTAAATTTAACGCCTTGGGATATTTGCATGTAAATTTTCTCTTCTAATGCACCACCACCAACAACAACAACAACATCAAGCCTTTATCCCACTATGTGGGGTCGGCTACATGAATCCTTTTTCTCCATTGTGTCCTATTAAAAGTCAAATTCTTGTTTAAATCTAATAAAGAAAGGTCATTCCTAATATTTTCTAACCAAGTCTTTTTAGGTCTGCCTCTACCTTTCTTAATATATGTCAAATCTAATACCTCAACTCTCCTAACCGGGTCATCGGAAGGCCGCCGTTTTATGTGACCAAACCATCTAAGGCGACTCTCTGTAATCTTATCTTCCACTAGAGCTACTCCAACATTTTCACGTATATGCTCATTTCGTATCCTATCTCCAAGGGTAAAGCTGCTCATCCACCTGAGCATCCTCATCTCTGCCACACTTAACTTAGTAATATGCTTCTCTTTTAATGGCCAACATTCGGCATCATAAAGCATTGCAGGCCTCACCACCATCTTATAGAATTTTCCCTTAAGTTTGAGGGGAACTTTTCTATCACACAACAAGCCCATTGCATTCCTCCACTTCAACTATCCAACTTGAATTATGCTAATAATATCCCAATCTATTTCACCATCACTCTGAACAATAGATCCAAGACATCTAAAATGTGTACTCTTATTAATGACTCGATCGCCCAAAGTCACAATCCCCTCACAGGTCTATTGCTACTAAAATTATACTACATATATTCCGTTTTAGATCTACTCAAGCGAAAACCTTTAAACTCTAAGGTTGACCTCCATAATTCAAGTTTACCTTCAATTCCCTCTCTAGCTTATCAACAAGAAGAATATCATCAGCAAAAAGCATACACCAAGGTAAATCCTCTTGCAAATGTCTAGTGAGAACATCCATGACTAAAGAAAAAAGATATGGGCTTAAGGCTGATCCTTAATGTAACCCAACTGAAATAGGGAAATACTTGGTCAAATCACCTTGTGTTTGAACACAAGTAATAGCTCATGCATACATATCTTTAATGATTTGAATATAAACGTTATTAACTCCTTTCTTATCAAGAACTCTCTTCTAATGCACCATTAAACAAAAAATTATATCGAATTGATGAAGTTACCAGTTCAAGCTAGCAACAAGAGATAATAAAACCCATATTTTATTTAGTTTTGTAACATAAGCAATTTTTTTTTCATAATTTATTACCATATGTATGAGCAATCTTTTGGGCCATCAGCCATGCATTGTATCAATTGGTAGTCCTATAAACTTTGTGTACAAAAAATATTAATTTGCTTCTAATTGCATTTTTATTTCTCGAGTGATTAGCAATATCCCAAGTTTTATTTTCATGTAGATGTCTCATTTCTTCTTGTACAAATTCTTTCAATTTTTTTTATCTTGAAGAGATTTAAAGATAATTTTTGGTATATCAAGTTTATCAATTATAATAGTGAATGCTCTGATTTGCTGTGATAATGGTAAGTATGCCAAATAATTAGAAATATGGCTTGTGGAACATGATCTTAACCCTCGTCATATAAGCCTTAATGTCTACCATTTCAATCCAAAGTTATTTGTTGAAGAAAATCACGAGAAAAAAAAAAAAGAAAAAAGAAAAGAAAAGACCAAAATGCCTCTTACAAAATCTAGTTTCCTCTCCTCTCATTCCTCCCTTACGCCTAGAACTCACACTTAGAACTCTCTATTCATGATTTGTGAATGATAGAATAAGAACTTGAGGCTTTAATGCTTTAATGTAAGTAACTATATAATTGAACAAAACATCACAATCCTTCAATCTTATAATTCATTGTTGCATGCGTTGTTTAGTGAAATGAAGTGAAAAACTATCGTACACTAATTTCATGTAGGGGTGTCAATTTCAGGTGACGGGTTGGGTTTGGGTCGAACTCGAAACTTACCCGACACTATTCGGGTCAACCCGAACCCGACCCGTTTTTGCAAATGGGTCAATTTTCCTGACTCGAGACCCGCTTCGAGTCCAAGTCAACCCGACCCGAATGGCCCAGTGCCAACAAAAACTGCTAGTTTTTGTGCCCAAAAACAGTTTAATCTCCATTTTTCGGGTCAAAAATGGGTTGCTAGGTCAAAAACGGGTTGCTAGGTCAAAAATGGGTTTTCGGGTCAAAAACGGGTTTTCGGGTCAAAAACGGGTCAATTTCGAGTCAAAGGGTCAACCCGAACCAGACCCTATTTTTGAAATGGGGCGAATCGTTGAACCCGAACCCGACCTGTTTCGGGTTCGGGTCAACCCAAACCCGAAATTTTTGGGTCGGGTCCAATATTGACACCCCTAATTTCATGTACAATAAAATATTTGTGGAACCGTGGTATCGAATGGCTTTTATCATTTTGTTTATTCAAATGATTAATTATATAAACTCGTGTGTGTGATCCTCATAAAGTATAAAACTTTACAAAAAAAATTTCATGATCATTTTTTAGTGGTATGAGTTGTGGGGTAAAATTTTTAGATCTTTTTTACTGTACTGATTTATAATTGTGTATCACATCCAAATATTTTTCGAGGAATGGAATTTGAAATTTCTTGTGAGGGTATTGCTTAATGACACTTTGGGGTGTTCAAAATTTAAGTGTTTTAGATGTTAGGCAATTTATTAGGTATGCTGTAGTGAGAATGCCTTCCTCTCAATAAAAGTTTGGGATAGTGTAAATGAAGTTAATAGATTGAGAAAACTCCAACAAATGGCAATTTTTTCTATCAACAATTCTGTTTAGTTGTGAAGTATAAATTCAATTCTGCAGTGTACCATTGTAACTTAGATATTTTGTACACACTATTTGAATGGAGGTTCAAAAAACATGTTGGGTGAGTTTGTGAAATTATTTGAACAAGTTATAAGTTTTTGATTTTTCTTTCTTAAGGAGGAACCCAACTGATGCACCTCTTGCACTAGACATTTGCAAGAGGATGTACCTTGGTGTATGCTTTTTGCTGATGATATTCTTCTTGTTGATAAGACTAAAGAGGGAGTTGAAGGTAAACTTGAATTATGGAGGTCAACCTTAGAGTCTAAAGGTTTTCGCTTAAGTAGATCTAAAACTAAATATATGGAGTCTAATTTTAGTATCATTAGACCTAGTGAGGGGATTGCAACTTTGGGTGATCAAGTCATTAATAAGAGTACACGTTTTAGATATCTTGGATCTATGGTTCAGACTTTAGAGTGTGGTGAAATAGATGGGGATATTATCAGCAGAATTCAAGTTGGATGGTTGAAGTGGAGGAATGCATCGAGATTGCTGTGAGATAGAAAAGTCCCCCTCAAACTTAAGAAAAAATTCTATAAGATGGTGGTGAGCATGCAATGCTTTATGGTGCCGAATGTTGGCCATTAAAAGAGAAGCATAATACTAAGTTAAGTGTTGCAGAGATGAGGATGCTTAGGTGGATGAGTGGCTTTATCCTTAGAGATAGAATATGAAATGAGCATATACGTTAAAAAGGTTGGAGTAGCTCCAGTGGAAGATAAGATTAGAGAGAGTCGCCTTAGATGGTTTGGTCACATTAAATGGAGGCCTTCGGATGACCCGGTTAGGAAATTTGAGGTGTTAGATTTGACTTATGTTAAGAAAGGTAGAAGTAGACCTAAAAAGACTTGATTAAAAAATATTAAAAATGATTTTTCTTTATTAGATTTAAATGAGAATTTGACTTTTAACAGGACACAATGGAGAAAAAGGACTCATCTAGCCAACTCCACGTAGTGGGATAAATGCTTGATGATGTTGAAGGAGGACCCCAACTGACCTTGCATGGTCATCTATAAATAAAATGAACCTCCGTGTTCCTATCAAGCTATTAATTCTTGCAGGTTTGGATTAAATAGAAGGCTTTTGAGTGTTTGTAGAGCTGTGGTGGTGGAAATTTGCTGGATTATTATCTAAGAATATGTCTCACATTTGAAAGAAATGCCCTTTTTATTAATAAACAACTTTGGTACAAGGATTTTAGGTATTAAAAAATTGGATGCCCTAATAATTTGTGCTATAACATTACATTAGAATCAGAAGATACGAAAAGAGAAACTACTTTTTACTGGACATTTATAGGGACTTTGATGGTAGTGTTGGAAAGTTATTAGTGGCCCTCCCGACAGCTTTGTCAATAACCTTGCTCGAATATTGATCAAAACATAATAAGAGGAAAAATGAGTTCTTTTGCAATTCATTTTTCTTATTTATATATAACAGATAAAACATTATAAGTTAAAACACATACCACATCCTTCAAAAAATATTTGATAACTAAAGCGAATCCTATCCTTTAGCAGGAGATTCTTTTTTTCCAAAGGTGTAGCTTCACTTAGTTTCTGTTTGATTTTCCATGACTCCAAAACATGATGTTTATGAGGGCGCTTCCAATTCTGGTGCTTTAAAGCATCCGTTGACTTGGCTATTTGATAACCATAACAATACCTGGGTAGAATGCATGATACGCACTGAATACAAGGAAAATTTGATTTGATTTTTTTTTTTTCACAAAAGCTTGATCGAGAAAGATGACTGGTTGGTTTTGATTGTTGATAATTTATGTTGACCTTTACTTGTATTAGAATTAAGAGAAGCAGACAATTGAGTACATTGATTTTGTTATTCAGTTTTATGGTGGTATGCTTTACAGAGTGTTGAAGAGACAGAATGCCGCCGGGCCTATGATTACGCCACTGCGGTTTACTTGTCTTCTTTTGACCGCTCAAAACCAGCTGATGAAGTAAGAGTTGTTGTGTTTGAGAATACTTGCTGATAATTTGAGTACCTTATTTAATTCTATATTCCTTAGGGCATTCTGAGAGGGGAACATGAAGTTGCTGTTCAGAAGGCACTTACTGCGTTCACTGCTGGTGCTGTGGGAGTTGGGTCAGCTCGTTTGAATTATGAAAAACTTCTTCACAATTTCTTCAAAAAGACTTTTGAGGTGATGACTATTACAAGGCAGCATTTGTTTCTCTTTCTTCTACTAACCTTCATTTTGTTCATTGTGATTATTTTTTTTCTTGAGTTTGTCATGATTTCTGTCATGTGAATTTCCTGTTTATTAAGTTTTGTTGAGTATTTTTACATTTTCTTGTATTGGATTAATATTTTGTCTGGTTTAGTGCTCTCTATGATATGTTCCTTACAACAGGCATTGCTAATGCCCATTTTGAATATTAGCAATGTTACCTGTGCAACGCATGGGAGAGGATTACAATTACAGGAATTTGTTGGTCAAGCATATATAAGTAAAGTGATTTACTCTACAAGTAAATGCAAAATAGAAACTTCTTAAAATATGAGATATATTTGAAGAGTTTGCAAACTATGCAGTTGCTATGAAAATAGCCTTCAGAAAACGTCATAGAATTGTCTGAAAAATAATTGCTGTTACTTGTTTCTCTGTTGTGCTATATAAATCATTTTGTGATGTTCTTGATCCGCTCACATGACCAGTACATGCACTAACAACGCAGGTGGAAAGTTATTCTTTTTTGTAACTGTAAATCAAACATTAAAGAAATAGTGAATTGGCCCGAACTAACTCCTTATATTCATGTAAATGTTGAACTCTGATTCCTTTTTAGTAGGATTATACACGAACTAAAATGAAGTGCAGCATTTGTCAATAGAAACTACAGCAGATTAGTTGTTAGCACAATAAATAAAAGTAAAAGTTATAAAAAAATTCTGCTTTCTCAAGTTGGAAGCTTGAGAGTAGTAAACTATAACAAATTTTTGTACTTCTAAGCAGAGAGCTACAGCACGTTCTTGTAATTCTCTGGAAAGGAATGCAGTTTTATGAAGGAAAATTCCTGAAGGGAGGAGCACATACCAACGGAGCAGTTGAAAATTTAACTAAAATCTAATTATGAATAAAAAGGCTAAACTAAACTTTAGAGCTTCCACCAATATGATGAGTCTAAATATATCATTGATATCGAACTTTTGTTATAGTAAGAGGCATTCAAAAGGACACCAAATGCTATAACAAATATGTAATCAATCACTTCCTTACCAAACACTTAAAAGGTTAAATAAAATAGATAAAAGGAATTTGATTGAAAGAGATTGACAAGATAAAAATATTAAAAACCAATTTCAGCAGATTAAATGAGCACAATAAAAAAGGCTACTGCAAACAATTCTATGTAGATAATGGTAGAGAAAAGCACGCTCTCAAGAGCAATGATGATCATGAGAATGGAAAAAATAAATTATTTGAAAATAATATGTAAAGAACACAATAGTTTACATAATTCGGTGAGATCCACCAACTATTACGATTGCACATAGAGATAAATCTCCACTAATTTAAAAATAAAAAATAAAATACAAATATTTACTCTCAAATTCTTTTCTTAGTTCTAGCTCATTAGTAGTCGTCCCTTTCTCTATTCCCTGTTCAAACATGACCATGATTCCTCCAACAACTATGCTCAATAGAGAGAGAGAATACATCGCCTTTTATTTTGGACAACCTCTTCGATCAACAATCCTTATGAAAGTTACCACTTTCTTCTTTTGAAGGACTCTGACATTCAATTGTTTCTTCTGATCCTTAATTGTCGTTATTGGCCGCCCAACAAAAAAATTTGTTTGTATGTCACTGATCAAGATAACTATCAACTTCTAATGAGTTAGTCTTATGCGTCTTCATGTGTTTTAAGTTTACACTGATGATGCAGGAGTACACAAAGAAGGCTTTCCTAGAAGCGGATTTGCAGTGCTCAAGAATTATACAGAATATGGAATCAAAGCTGCGTGCTGCGTGCCAAGTCCCTGATGCAAAAGTTGATGATGTGCTTAAGGTAAGGTTTATCCCTATAGCTTTTGGTTGTTTGTCTTTTTCATTTTCCCCTTTTAAAGAACTCTCTGTGCTCTTAAATGATATATTTTTTTATTAATTTGAATAATTTGCTTTTATGCTATCTATTCTCTTATGTATCAAATTTAGGAGAATTTACTAAGCTCACTTTGGCCTGTTGGTTGAGAGCTTAGGCTTCCAACTAAGAGGTCATGGTTTCGAGACTTTGTGTATGCGTTGAGCGTATGAGTTTGCCTTAAATGGCCTAAATGTCCCCAAAAAAAATTTAGGAGAATTGCTGTTTTATTCCAACTGCAATAGATTTCCTGATTTAGAAGTCAATATTACTGTGAACTTTTTAGAGTCATATAATAATCAATTGGGTTTAGATGCACTTTTTTTTTGTTAATTTTGAAATCTTATAGAGCACAGATTGAATTAATATTAACTTATGTGGTTTTGATATTAAATTAGATGGAGTATTAACGGTAATCTCGAATGTCTCTGCAGGTTTTAGATGGTTTAGTTGCTGATTGTAAATCATCCTGTCATAGTCCAGGAAAATGTGAAAAGTTGGTTTCCTTCTTACAACACTGGTATTCATCTCAATCATTTTACATGCTAGGCTGCAATGTTAAAATGTCTTAATAATACTCATGATATTGGCATGACGTATATTTAACGAATGTACTTGCCATCTCTACCAAAAGAAATCGCATTGAAATACTAATTTAGTGAGAATATTTTGATGCCTGCCACCTTTTCTGATGTGATGGATGCGTATGAAATCAAAATAACATTTGCAGGATTGATATAAGAACTCAGTGAAAATATCCTATTCTTTGTGCTAATTTTAGTTGAATAACCAGCTCTGTCTTAAGTACAGTTTCTTATTGTCACAGTTTGGAGGGGCCGATTCTGGACCTTTTCAGGAAAAAGTTGGATAAAATTGAATCTGAAAGAACTGGTTTTAAGTTGAGGTGCACTTCAAGTGATGAAAAATTGGAATTGCTCAAGAAACAGCTAGAGTCGAATGAGAAACACAGAGCTGACTATTCAAAGCGTTATGAGGATGCTATCTCTGATAAGAAAAGAATTGCTGAAGATTATTCTGTTCACGTTGCAAATCTGAAGAGTAAATGCAGCACACTGGAGGAACGCTGTTTGAGTTTATCAAAATCTTTGGAGATCACTAAAGGTGAGTCTGCTGGGTGGAAAGGTAAATATGAACGCATCTCTTTGGAGCAAAAGGCAGAAGAAGAGAAATTGAAGACTTACATTGCTGATTTGGAGGCCAGTAGTACTGCAATTGAAGGAAAATTAGTTGCTATCCGTGAACAGGCAAATTTGGCCAATGAAGAGGCGACAGAATGGAAGCGGAAATATGAATTTGCTCTTGCAGAAGCTAAGGGAGCTCGTGATAGAGCAGCGCAGGTATTGGAGTATTCAAATAAGAAGGCACAAGAGAGAGAAGATGCCTTAAGAGATGAATTATCTGACAAACTAGTAGAGAAGGTAACCTATTTTTTAAGTATTATTTGATCGCGTACAATCTCTTAGAACTCATTTTGTGTATTTGTCATAATGAAACAGGATGAGGAAATCAGAAAGCTGAATGCCAAGATTGACCATACTGAACTGCAAGCTAGCAGTTTTAGTTCTCGACTGGAGGTACATTCATTCTTTTTTTGAATCTTTTAGTTGTCTAAATTGATTTTTTCCTATGATCTAATTGTGTAGATGATATGCAGGCTGCTGAGTCAAGAGTTAAAAGATACGAATTGGAAAATTTAGCATTGGAGGAAGAAATTAACAGGCTAACTGAGATGCTAAATTCCATAAAAACTAGAGCCCAATCTCATGAGAGAGAACTCAAAATGCTCGAGCAACAGAAGAATCATCTTCAAGAGAAATATCTATCAGAATGCAAAAATCATGACGCAGCTGAAAAGAGATGCAAAGAGGCGGAAAGGGAAGCTAAGAAAGCTATAGAACTATCTGATATTGCTAGAACTGAGGCTGCTGCTGCTCATAAGGAGAAGAACGAGGCTCATAGCTTAGCCATGGAACGGCTTGCGATAATTGAAAGAGCTCAGCGACAAGTTGAAAACCTGGAGATAGAGAAATCCAAGTTAACTGAAGAAGTAGAGAGGCTGCGATCATGTGAACTGGAAGCAACTTCCAAAGCAGATTTGTTCGAGAGAAGACTTGAAGAGAGGGATAAAGAAATTGAGGAGATGATGTGCAGAAGCAATGAGCAGAGGTCCAGCACAGTACATGTTCTCGAGTCTCTGTTGGCTACAGAGCGTGCTGCGCTAGCTGAGGCCAACAATCGAGCAGAAGCTCTATCGATTCAGCTTCAAGCCACTCAAAGCAAGCTTGATTCTCTGCAGCAGGAGCACACTTCTGTTCGGCTCATCGAGACTGCACTTGATAGTAAGCTCCGGACAGCAAACCCTAAACGTTCCAGGATGGATTATTTCCCGGCGACAGAATCAGTTCAGGATATGGATATTGATGGTGAGACTCTTCGAAGCAGAAAGCGATCGAAGAGCACTATTAGCCAATTGAATCTGAAGGAAACTGAGGATGGTGGCTCTGTTTATGGTGGGGCTGATGAGGATAATAGTAAAGAGAGTAAAGAAAATCAGGAAACGGAATCTGATGATTATACAAAATTCACTGTGCTTAAATTGAAGCAGGAGCTTACAAAACATGGTTTTGGTGCCCAGCTGCTACAGCTGAAGAATCCTAACAAGAAGGATATCCTGGCTTTGTACACAAAGCATGTACTCAAAAAATAGCTCCTTTTTTTGGGTTGGAGCGTTTATGGGTTTAACTATTGCATATAATCTACGATGCGTTGATCGATTAAATTTAGGACTTGGTATTTATTATTTGTGTAAGAATTCGAAAAAGGTAAATAGTAAAGATTTGGAATTTTAGGTATGAAACCATTTGTATGTATTATGAAGTATTTTAATGCTTGAAAATGCTTGGGTCTGCGTTAGAATGAGTCCCAAGTGTAGCGTGTGAATTTTGTCAAAATTTGAGAATGTCACTTTTGGAGCGCCCCAATATTGCATGTTAGAGTGTTGCGGCACTGCACTCAGCCAAAGCGCTAGAAAGTGACATTTAAGAATAATATAATCAGCCATTTATTTCCCGATTTGCCTCTTAGCTTGATCTGTAACACTAGAGATGTTTTGGCCGACTGGATGCAAGAGGGTAGTTGGTGCTTGCCTGATTCCTTGAGTTCACCCATTATGGAACAAATTTTTGCTATTCCAATTCCGAATGAATCATCCAAACACCTTATTTGGGATAATGATGGAAATGCTACATTCAAAGACTTCTATTTGGAATTTTTTGTTAATGAGGAAAATTTTGACTCGCACTCACCGGTTTGGCATAAAAAATACTATGCGTTTCTCAACTTGCACTTGGATGGTTTTGAAAGGGGGTTTGAAAATGGTTGATGTTCTATCCAAAAGAAACATTCATATTTTATACCACACTTGCTCTCTCTGTTATTCTGGTTTGGAAATGACTTGTCACTTATTTTTTGAGTGTGATTACGTTTTCAAAGTTACGATTAAAATTATGCCTTGTTTCCAAAATTTCTTCGTAAGGCCTACTTATTCAAGCTTTACATCATATTGACAGCTTACAAGTAGGGAAATCTCAAATAAAAAAAAATGCTCTTCTCCTTACTTTTAATGCTATGGTGTATTATGTTTGGCAAGAAAGGAATAACAGGAAATTTAAATCTGTGAATGCTTGCTTTAACACCTTATCTAGGAGGATTTCTAGATATGTCTTTCTTAAGATTAAACGTTGGAAGAGGGGGGATTCTATCATTGATAAGTTGAAGATTTCCTACTCCTGATGCTTGCTTTTATGTCATGGTGGCTTATGTTTTTTTTTTTGGCTGAGAGAGTTGGTTGCTTTGCTTTCCTTTAGCTCTTACTGCCTGATTATTTGTGGTTCAATGAGGTTTCACTGCTGGATATCTTTAATCTTCGTGTCATTACTTGTGCTGGTACCACGAGTGTAGTTTATATTTGCCTGGACGATGCAAAATTTGGCCTGGGCTTAAATCTGTCGTCTGCCATTACTCCTTTTGGTTAGTTATACGGGCCCATGTAGGATTACACTGTTGAAGTCCAGATCCGAAAATACTCGTATAAGAACACTGGTCTTTGTCTGGTTAATAACTATCTATACAAAAGATCTTTGGATATTCAACGAAAATAGTTTTTTATTTTTATTTTTCAAAAAAAAAAAAAATTTGCTTATAATCTTTAAAATCAACAAAAGTCAAGATCTAATGGTCAAAATCATGTACTTGTAGTTAGCATTACTGCATTATTTTGTCTCATAAAATATAAACGGTAAGTTTTAAATCCCATTTATATTGAATGTGTCTATTCATATATTTTAAGGCACGGCTTAAGTTAATCTAGATTTGTTTCATCTATCTCAATTCATCTTTTTCCCATTTTCCGATAATACAAAACTATTTATAAGACTTGTTTACAATGTGTGGCTTACAAGAGATTATTACATGCGGACAGGGGCGGAACCAACCTTTCATCTTAGGGGGGGAATTTTTCTTAGTAATAGACTAATATAAAAAAAAAAAAACAAAATGATGACATAATTCAAAGTGAAATTTTGTATTTCATTATGATAGTAAAATTGAAAAATCATTATAATTTTATTAATCTATTTTACATTTTTTGATAATATTAGATATCATCTTCATTGGGATTCAATTCAAACACATCTTTTTCAATGTAAGGCACAAGACAATTGTTGAGTCAATCATCACCCATCCTACTACGTCTTCGATGTTTGATAATTTTCATGGCTGAAAATGCTCTTTCCACTGTAGCAGTAGCAACTGGTATGGTTAATGCTAAGGTAATAAGTCTATAAACCAGAGGAAACACGTCATTCTTCTTGAACTTAACAATCTGCTTTACAAGATTTGCAATGCTTCTTCTCTTCACTGGTCCGCATATCAATAATGTACGTTGATAATTGACTTTTAAGAGCAACAACCTCAATTATAGAAAAATCACTTGGATATAACTCTGCTAGACATATCAATTTCCTCTATTCATAAACACGAAAAGATTCACTTGGGTTTAAGCTTGACACATAAAGAAGTAACTCAGTACTTGATTCAGAAAAGCGATTATTTAGCTATGAAGTTGCATGTCAACTACAATATAAAATAGATAACCACGATAATCATGTATATTTGTTTTATCTTCATCTCTTTGCACTGATCGACGACGAGTTTTGTATGTTTCATTCATGTTTGGAACAACAACTTCAAAAACATCACAAAAACGTGACACTTCATCTAATAAAGCATTCCATCCATTCTCCCTTAGTAGTTGTAGTCGTTGTTTAGAAATTTGAACCAATTTCATTGCATTTTCAATATATTGATCTTTTCTTTGTAATGATTGTGATAACTCATTCTTAATGCCCAATATATCAATTATTAAATGCATTGTAAAAATAAAATCAAAATACTCCATTATATCAATCAGAACACTCGCTTCAACCGATTACTGATCATGAACCCCTTCTTTAATAATCTCTAGCACCTCGATCACATAAGCATACATACGTATAAGACTAATCAAAGAGTGAAAATATGAACTCCAACGAGTATCATTAAATTTATGTAAATTTGTATCTTGATTCAAACCTTTGCCACTTATGAGATTGTCATTTTTAAGATGAAGAAGTACTTTATCATGATGAATACTTTTAAGAGCATCTGATCTCTTACAAGAAGCCCCGATAGTATTAATAATTCTAGAAGTGAACTCAAAAAGATGTTTTACTTGCCAATGATTCTTTGCCACTATTACCAAACATAATTGAAGTTGATGAGCGAAACAGTGAACATAAAATGCTTGAGGGTTATCATTTAGAATAAGGGCCTTTAAACCATGGAATTTCTCTCGCATATTGGATGCCCCATCATAACCTTGACCACGCATCCTTTGTATGCTCAACGAGTGTTTGGCTAGAATGTCTTCAATGGCTGCCTTCAATGTAACTACATTAGTGGATGTGACATGTTTGATTTCTATAAATCTTTCAACCACTTGGCCCAACTTATGTACATATCTCACTGCAATAGCAACTTGTTCTTTCGTATATATATCACAGGATTCATCAATTATAAGTGAGAAGTATGAGTTACCAATATCTTTCATGATATATGTTAAAGTTTGAGCTGATGCAGCAAAATATATTCCTTTCTAGACTTTTGGTGAAGTTAACTTCAGATTTAAGCTGGCATATGCAGATGTCACTGTCTTAATTTTCTAATTATGATCAGCAAGAAAATCAAATAGCTCTAAATAATTTCCTCGATTATCTGACTTGGAAGACTCATCATACCCACGAAATGATAATTCCTGACGTAACAAAAATCTAACACAATCAATGGCTACAGTCAACATGATCTTATATTATTTTTTATTCTTATCATCTTTGCTTAACCATAAAGCTGAAAGAGTATGTTCTTGGTTCTTCATCAAATCTTCACATTTTTGTCTAGCCTTATTATTTATACTATTATGATCTCCAATGTGGCATAATAATTTCTTTCTGCTTCCAATTTTTGAAACCTTCTCCAATAAATAAATCCCCACCATCTTGACCTTTAATAATCTGCTCTTGAGATTTAAATAGATAGCAGTAAAGACAAAAAGCAGTGTCTTTCAGCACACTGTACTCTAAACAATCAAAGTATTCATCAAAACATTTCAGATTGAACCTACGTGCAATATTTCCATATAAGGTTTGGGAAAATTGATGACTTCTCGGTTGATGGGGTCCCTTCATTAGATATGATCTCCAAATCTTATCTTCTATCATTTACATCATAACTCCAAATAGGAAGTCGGAGTCCAGGATATGCTGGGAGATTGTTAATATCAATTTTTATTCGTTCTTTCATCTTTAAATAACGCTCCATTTATTTAACCATAGAATGAAATTTATTATAAAAGAATAGCAACTGTTAATCAAAATATTTATATCATAACAAACAAGTATTAATACAAGTAGAAACAAAATCTCATAGAAAACCTTAATATCGATTTTAACCCACAGCAATATAGTATCATCTTATCTATTTATCACTCTTGTTCTTATATACAAAAAGGAAGATATCATATTTGCTAAACTTATAATCTCTTATGTTAATCAATACTACTACACTAGTAACTAATAATGACGTAACGAGCTTTTGGTTGAGTTAATGACAAAAATATCCTAATCTGTTTTACTCATAAAAATAATCCAAACTCATCCTACATAAGATTACCTCATTCCAAGCATTTGTGATTTTCTTATGGCATCACACATCATTTGCTCATGACTAAATGAATAATAAGGATTCATAAAGCTAATCTTAATAAGGATGATAATGATGATGATTGCATATCATTTGCTCATAATAGACTATAAAAAAATGTGGCATGAAACATCTAACAAAAATGCCAAATGAATTGTTATGACATAAACCTTACTGTTAATAAATGAACTAAAAGTCTCACTCTATATCACTGAGATGGTAAACAATACCTTAAATAAAGACTGTAATTTTTATGTTCATGGATCGGAATTTGTGATTTAAAATCAAATGCAACTTATGCATCCATAATGAGTCCTAAGTTTCACTAAACACATGCATACTTCAGTTTTTGCTAGGCAAACGCTATCTGCAATGAGACCATAATAACTTGAATGGCAAAATTGTACCGGTGATATTATGGTAAGGAGAAAACCCAACATCATAGTTAGGGCGCATTGAAAAAGATTGTAAAATCTAAGAAATCAAAAAGACAAGGGCACATTGAACCAAGAAGCCAATATTCTTTCTCCAAATACGGATAAAAAAAAAAAAAAAGTAACCAAGAAGAACCGAAGAAATCAGGAAGAACGAGCTTACGGGCGGAAGAACCGAAGCAGTAATGAAGAAGATGCACCTTAGAATGATGAAAAATGGAGACCTCTCCAGTCGTCTCCCCCGATTCGAGTGTCAAGAATGAAAAAAACAAGCAGAGAGCCTGAGATGGCAGAGGGTCGAGGGAGATCGCGTTCTCCTTTGCTTACATTTTTTTTAGTGGTGGGCAATTGCCCCCACCCCCCTACGGCTACAGTGATTCCGCCCCTGCCTGCGGAGTTCGGACACAGAGAATTATTTGATTTTGTGACTGTGAACAATAAAAATAGAGTAAAAGTACATGAGTGAACATTAAAAATGCAATGTTGAATAGTAACTGCTCTTTTACTGTTCACTATCATAAAATTGAACGGTTCTCTGTGTCTGAACTTCACATATAATAATCTCTCATGGCTTAAAGAAACATCAATGAAAAAAGGTCTCTTGCAACAACGGCAGATTCAGAGAATCCATGAGTTGAGACGCCCACACTTTCAATTGATAGGTCGCACCAATGATAATTATGTTAGAATCTCATTTGAGATTAATTTATATTTTTTAATAAGATTTTTTTTTTTTGAGATATATAAGTTAATTAACATAAATTTATACATATGTAAAATTCAAATCCAAAATTTTTTAATTGATAGTACCAATTTCATATTGGTGACATAATGAGATAAAAGAACAGTCACATATCTTCTCATAACGAATAATTTAGTTGATATTAGTAGTCTTGGATTTAAATGTCGTTAGGATCATCGCAAATCAGTTCAGTGAATGATGAGCGTACCTCACTACGCGAAAACCATCTCCATAAGACGAAGCTCCTGCTTTCGCATCTCAATCCGACCCTTCTCCGCCTCCGGCGGCGCCGCTGGGCTCCCAGCGGCCGCCGATTTTCTCACCTCCGTCGACCTCATCACCCTCACCGACCTTATAAACAAGCAACACTGGTCCCGTCTCAAAACCCTAATCAACGATTCCAACAACAACCCCTCAAATCTCCTCCTCCACCTCTTCAACTCCGGTGCCGCCGCCTCCACTATTCTCTCGTACTTCCGATGGTCGGACCGTCACTTCCAATCTCCCCACGACCTTCACCTTCACTGCCGCCTCCTCCATTATCTCGCCGCTGAAAAATTATACTCTAAGCTCCGCTCCGAGCTCCACTCCATGGTTCTCTCCCGTCGCCACAGCCTCCCAGCCATCTTCCACTTCCTCTCAGTCTGCGGCGATCGCCGGACATCCGCCTCCCTCATAGCCGACATGCTCCTCCCCGCCTACGTCAAAAATTCTCAAACCGAGTCTGCGCTTGAAGCCTTCCGCAGGGCTGGAGACTACAGTTACAGGCTCTCGACCCTTTCTTGCAATTCTTTGCTTAATGCCCTAATCAAGGAGGAAAAGCTGAAAGAGTTTGAATCCGTCTTCTCTGAGATGATTCGGAGAAGAATCCCCCCTGATTTGATCACCTTCAATACAGTGATTAACGGGTTTTGTAAGGCGGGGAAACTAAGGAGGGCAGGGGATCTATTGACTGAAATGAGATCATGGGGCATCGAGCCAACTGTTGTTACTTATAATACCCTAATTGCTGGGTACTGTAAGAGTAATCAAGGAGGGAAACTGTACCAAGCGGATGCTCTCTTGAAGAAGATGATCTCAGCAGGTATCTATCCCAATGTTGTTACTTTCAACACCCTTATAGATGGTTTCTGCAAAGACAGGAATAGCTCTACAGCCATGAAATTTCTTGATGAAATGAAGCGGCAGAAACTCTCTCCAAATACTATTACCTACAATTCATTGATCAATGGGCTCTGCAATGAGGGAAAAATGGAGGAAGGTGTTGCATTGCTGAAGGAAATGAACAGTGAAGATCTGATTCCCAATGTAGTCACTTTTAACACAATCATAAATGGGTTTTGCAAGAAAGGAATGTTGGGAGAGGCTAAGGGGTTTTTGAATGATCTATTCGACCGGGGCTTGATTTTGACCGCAATTACTTACAACACTTTGATAGATGGTTATTGTCGATCCGGCCGGATGGAAGATGCATTGGAGTTCAAGTTATTGATGTTGGAGAAAGGAATTTTTCCTGATTCTTCAACCTACAACTGCTTGATATGGGGCTTCTGTGAGAAAGGGGATATGAAGGAAGCAAGAAGCCTTTTGGATGAAATGGTAGAGAAGGGAATTGCACCTGATGTCATAACTTACAATGTTTTGATTGCTGCATTGTGCAGGGAAGGGGAGTTGAGGAAGGCAAGCAAGCTATTTGATGAGATGTTTGATGTGGGCTTGAAACCTTCTCACCTAACATATAATATACTAATGGAAGGTTTCTGCAAAAAAGGGAACCTAAGGGCTGCTTTGAACATCAAGGCAAGGATGGAGGGGAATAAGAAACATGCCAATGTTGCTACTTATAATATCTTGATTAAGTGCTTATGTGAAAAAGGTGAACTGGAAGATGCAAATGGAATACTTAATGAGATGTTAGAGAAAGGTCTTGTTCCAAATAAGTATACTTATGATGTTATTAAGGATGGAATGGTTGAGAGAGGGTTTGTTCCTAATATGTAGATGGCCATCTTTGCAACAGTGCTTCTTAACACCAGATCAAGGCAGAAATTTCAGCTAAATTCCTTAAACTGGAAAAATAGCTTTGATAAGTGGGAAACTTATTATTTTTAAGAGCTTTTGAAAGCTTCCTGATAAAATTTATTTTCTGTCATGTTGGAAAGCCAGAAGTACTTCATTACTTAATTTTTATATTTTTTTATATTCATTGTCAATATATTTTTCAAAATAACTTTCTATTATATCTACAAATTTTTTAAAAAAAAGATGTTATGGTTCGTTGCACTGTCACTTCGAGCATATTTTTTTAATATATTAATTTTAAGAACATTAGAGATTTATTAGTCCTATTCAAATTTAAATTTAACCAAATACTGATGATAGGTAAAAATAGTTGCTGCTATACTGTTTGTTAACACAACTTCAGAAAAATACGTTTTCTTACAACGTCATATTTCTACCTATCTGGAAAGGCGGTAAATATAAAAGACAAAACTCATTTTGATCTGTTGGTCAAGAGCTTTAGCTATCAACTAAAAGATCTTGAATCCGAAGCTTCGATATGTGATGTGTATTTTTTGCTCAAAAGTCAACCCAAAAAAAAATCTAAGTATAAAAGAACTACATTCAATCATGGCTATATCAATCAGAAATATATCCTCAACAAAACTTATCAACTCATAGAGTTACAAATCCGAAAACAAAAATCACATTTTCTTTTCTGCTTTTTGCTTCCACATTGAAATTTTACAATAATATATAAGCAATAGATATGAATTATTTCATTAACTAACCGTGAGGCTCTCTGGCTCTGCATTGCACAGTAGTGATATCAGTCTGGTTTCTTCAAATTCAGACAATTGTCTGATGCTTGACTAAACAACGCCTGAACCAGTTTCAGTTCCTGCTCTGCTATACAGTTCACGTCAGCAAATTCAAGTTGGAAAATAATTTTGTGGAGTGTAAATAATTATTGAATTACGAATTTTTTAGCACAAAAATACCTGCAGCTTCAAGCTGTTTCTGAAGTTCAAGACCTACTAATTCATTCTCTGCCTGGAAAAAAGTTAAGGAACTTTCAAACAGAAGGCATTTTGTTCAAAACTAAAATATGTTTTTAAGGCTTCTTTTGGGGCGGCTTTTTTACTGTTTTTTAAAACAATTTTTTAATACATAAATTAAATTTTTTTTACTAAAAAGCTGCTTTAATAAGCAGGAAAAAAGCCCTCCCAAACGAAACCTAAGTCAGAGACATATGCTAATCATTCTTTAGTCTTACTTTAAATGAAAATGTAACAGAGTAGTCTAAGACATGCGTCAAACAATTCACCTGGAGCTCAGCTATTCTCTTCAACTGTGCCTCTTCGCCTCCTTCTAAAGGCAGGGCAGCAATAAGCGCGTCAAACTGCGAACCACAAGCATTCTGATCAGTAAGGTCTTCAATTTAGGCTTCGTTTGAGACAACTTTCTTACTGCTTCTTAAAGCGACTTTCTAGTACAAAAATTTTAATTTTTATACTAAACATCTACTTTAAGAAACAGTAAAAAAGTTGTCTCAAATGAAGTCTTAATGAAACATTTAAATGTTATAACAAAAACAAGTAGAGGACAGTCTAACAAAAATAAATAAATAAATCAACGGGTGAATATATTGAGCTTAAGCAAGCAAATAGTCGACTAGAACCAAAAAGTTCTGATTTCAGCAGCAATGGAGTTAGTGCTGTGTTAAAAATCATCACCTTTGAGTAAAGTTTCTAGCTGGTCTGAGCGAAGCCTGTCATCTTTAAAAGAAAAATCTCCAAATAATACAAGAATACTCCAAACAAAAATGAAGATGTCCCTCTAGAGCCATATTTATATTTATATACGATCGAATTTTCTCTTCTTAGGATGAGAATTTTATTTTTCCTCCCATTAAGAGTTTAATCTTATTATCTTCATATAAAAATTAATATAGTCAATTCTCCTTAATATGCTCAAACTAGTGCCAGAGCATGGTAATTTTTAAGATCAATTGCTAATCAAAATTTTCACAGTGAATTATTCCAACTGCATGCGAAGGAATTTCTGATTTTTAATGCGTATAGCTTTTTTATCGGTGATGTTAGATAGAAATCACTTTATAATGTATTGTTCAGTGTAAGTGTACCTTACCTATAATAGGAGAAATGAATTTAATTTCTAGAACTATGCTAAAATAAACATAATCCATTAATTATAAATTATAAATTATAAATTTTCTAAATAATATGCTAAAATTAATACACTCCATCAAGTTGGAGCATATATATCAATGGCCTTCAACTTTTTTTTCTTTTTTTATATTAATGGTCTTCAACTTTTTGCATAAATTGTCAGCAAATTTAAACTAGAAATATGAACTATCTTCTTTCAAAACATGGCATCCCAAATGAAGTGGCAATCAATCTCAATATGCTTAGTTATTTTGTTAAAAACAAGATTATTAGTAAAATAGATGCCAGCATTATTGCCACCATATATTATGCAAAAGGAAAATGAAATTCCTTTAGGAGGGTCTTAACCCACATCACTTTACATTAAGAATAAGTCATGGCTTTTCAACATGACTCAACATTTGATATGACTACCACTATTTCTTTCGCTCTTTCATGTGACCAAGTTATCTCCCACAAATATGTAGCTCATTATGTGAATTTTTCATTATCAACTGATCCATTGTAAGTTTAGTGCATTCAATGCTAGGAAAAAGCTTCCACGTTAATATAATAATTCTTAGGCCTCACTTAGGACAACATTTTTACCACTTTTGTGGTAGGAAAAACAACCAATAAAAACCCATTCCACCCTCCACCTCACCCTCTTTCTCTAACTCTCTTTTTCCCTTCTTCTTTACCTCTATATGTACATCTCTTCATCGTGCTTCCCTCCTTTCTCTCCCTAATATAGAAAAATCTCTCTCTCTCTCTCTATATATATATAAGAGAAGAAAACAAAAAATGAAGGGAAAAATGGTATTTTGGTTTTCATTGCGAATCTCGTTATCATCTCGTTGTTGTTGCATGCGTAAGGTAGAAACTTCAAAATTTAGTACCAGTATAAGGCGGGGAAATGCAAAATAAATGCTCGTGCACATTGTTCTAATGTAGCAAAGAAATCTACATTTTCGCTTTTGCGGGTGATGAAGACCTATGTGAGCTTTTTTAAATGCGGTAGGAGGGAAGATCCTAGGCCGCTATGTCGCACAACACTGAATATGCATGCTTTTAGAGTATATATATGGTAGAAAGGCCTAGAACCCATAAAAGCGTGAGGAAGATATCAAGAGACTGTTGAAATTCAAACTAAATAGACTTACAGAGAAAAAAATATTAAATGGCTTAAAAAAATACACCAAATGAAAGAATAAGAACAAAAATTGAATAATGATTTAAAATAGGTCTTGTAATGAACTCAACAGCACGACAACTATGAATAAAATCTCCCCACCAAACTCAAAATTATTTGAAGGCTAGCAAATGAAAACTCAAATGAACTCAACATCCCTCTTATTTATAGGAGAAAATTTGATTCCTCGTTGGGTCCACCTAGCTAAATTACAAATACAACAGGATGAAATCATTACATTTTAATATGCTCGAAATAATCTAGCTTGTAACAAGTGCCACTAGATCCATAACACATACACCGAGCGAAAGCGTAGTATAAATTCCAAAATGAAAATTTGCATGCATTTTAAAGATAAATGCTTACGCAAAAAATCAAAACTCAACATTTAAAATCATGCACGCATTTATCAAATTTAAGTGTGATGCTCCATTAAATGTCCAAACACCTTGAGAAGCATGTAGTTTCTTCAAAAAAATGTGCCATTTACTAGAGAAGCATATAACCACCACAAAACACATGCATTAATTCGAGAAGCATATCACCATTTAGAAATAACGTAACTACATCATTCAAATATATTGAAAAATGTGTGAGCGTAGTGCAAATGCATCAAAAAGTGTGAAGATGCATTATGCAGGCGCATCGAAAAGCACGCAAGTACATTAGAGAGCGCATAACTACATCATGCAAATGTATCAAAAAATGTTTAAGTATATCATCTAGACGCATCGAAAAGCACAAGTACATTGAAAAATGTGCACGTACACTAGAAAAATATATAGAAAAGCATGCAAGTGTATCGTGCATTGAAAAGCATAACAAGCGAATGCACAAAAATATAAAAATGCATGCAAAACATATTAAGTAACCGAAATTAATTCACTAGTATGAGCTTCGGCCAAATACATCAAACTCTTAATTTGGGGTTCGAGGATGCTACGCGGGCTCAAAACAAGCTAGATTAAAATATTCTCGTTTTGAAAGTGTGCATTTGCCCTACAAAGTTGTATTTATTTTAAAATTTGCAAACCCCCTTTTCAAAACTAAATCATCCACATATATTCTAAGAAATGTACCAAACATTAAAATTTATTGGCTGAAAAATGTTGTGCGAATAATAAAATGAAATTTGATCAAACTTGATCATCTATAAGAAAGTTTGTAGAGTCGATAAAGTAAAAAATAATAGTAAAATCTTAGGATACCCTGATGATATCCATGCTAAAAGCAAATATAAACTAGCAAAAATGCCCCAAAATCCTAATGCAAATAATTTTAGAGCCACATCCTAACAAGCAATTTTAAAAAATTCAAAAAATTATAAAATTTAAAATATTTTAAGTGAAATTTACCTTCTAAAACATAAATAAAAAGTCATCAACCCTCCACAAAAGTCTTTTCAAACACATCGTTACAATTTATTCTAAAACAATCTATCACCAGTAAGGACGTGACATGTGTCATCTAATCGGTGGTTTTGTCACCAAATGACACCACAGATAAACGATTATGATCAAGCCCTCTGACTCCATGGTTTCACCACAAAATAATGGCATTAAATTATAGTCAAGACCTAAGCCAGCAAGTTCCCCAATAGTAAAAAAAACTCTTGAATAATGAATTGTAGGATGCACTTCATAGAATATAAAACCCTCTATTAACTAACTAACAACAACAACAACATCAAGCCTTTATCCCACTATGGGGGGTCGGCTACATGAATCATTTTTCTCCATTATGTCCTATTAAGAGTCTAATTCTCATTTAAATATAATAAAGAAAGATCATTTCTAATATTTTTCAACTAAGTCTTTTTAGGTCTACCTCTACCTTTCTTAACATAAGCCAAAATCTAATACATCTACTTTTCTAACGAGGTCATCAGAAGACAACCGTTTTATGTGACCAAACCATCTAAGGTGACTCTCTCTAATCTTATATCCCACTAAAGCTATTCCAACATTTTTCACATATATACTCATTTCGTATCATGTCTCTAACAGTAAAGCCACTCATCCACCTTAGCGTCATCATCTCTACAACACTAAAGTTAATATTATGCTTCTCTTTTAATGGCCAACATTCTACACCATAAAGAATTACACGTCTCACCACCATCTTATCAAATTTTCCTTTAAATTTGAAAGCCTTCTATTAACTAAGATCAACTTACATATATTCTCTTAGACAAACATCCACTCTAAGTCTATAAAATTCCCTCAAATAAAGTAACTCATAACTGTTGACAATGATAATTCGATCAAGTTGACTCAACTATCTCTTCTGACTATTCTGAACAATAACCACAAAAAATTGGGATGATGAAATCATGAGATCTTGATTGGGTTCATTATTGATCCCTTTTAAGTTTAAAAAAATAAATTCCAGCCTTATACTAAATTCACTGGTATTATCTACTAATCATTTAGATTCTAACAACTAACCTTTATCGAATGTTCTCTATCATCACTAGAAAGGGTAATTAACCAAAAGGCTTACACCTATAGGAAATTTGGAACCATATAATAAAGATCTAACAAAATAAAGATAAAGTATCTGGGTAGTATCTTATTTTCCTATTGTTTTCTGATTTTTCTTTTGGATTTGTGGATCGTTCTCGTTATTTTCATCAAGATAGTTAGGTTTTAATTGGGAATTCCAAGTATTTCCTAAGATTGAGCTCCTTAGAGGAGAGGTAGGAGGAACAAAGGAGCTGATGGGAAGAGCTTCGAAGCCGAGGCAGCCACCGCTCTTTGATGCTTGTGACTTGCAAGATTATACTTGTTCGAGTTATCTAATTGATCTACCAACATAAACAATTTACTTTAGAGTAGTAAAGCTTTGAGTAGATTGTAATATGTGAGGATGCTTCTATAGTTCTCTTCTCTTATGTTGTATTCTTTTGTTGTAGTTTTAATGAGATTTAAAGAGAGATTTTTGTTGGCTTTGCCTAAAAAATTCTTAGCTAAATGTTAGTATTGTGATTAGTAATGATTATTCTTTCATATTAATATTTTTTTATTTTATAATATTTTTATTATTTTTAAAGTTTTATCAACATGCACGTTGTGCACATACATTTAAACTAGTATACATAAGATCACCAGACTTGTGCACCAACACTGAATTGTCTAAGCACAAACAGAACCTGAAGTATACTTTCTATTTAATTGCCTTAGAAGCCTTTTTTTTTTTTCGCTTGTGATTAGAGTTACACTACATTATCTTCCACTACATTAACGCCCCGTCTCTTGCAAATAAATCTTGCAAGTTAAAATGCATGGTTATGTTTTGAATTCCCAATGGAACAAAACAATCAACCTACACGTAGGAATTGCAGTTCAGTGGAAGTACTTGCAGAGCACCAAAAAAAAAAAAAAACGCTTCAGGAACAATAGGAAACCTGTAAGTAAAAAAATATAATTTGATGTATAAAGAACCGTTTCTATTTTTTGCTACCTTCTTGGCGGCTTGAACCAAAGCAGCACTCATTGTCTTTGGTTGTTCTGTAATGTTGATGGTCTCCTCTGAAGGATTAGCAGGCGGCTCAGGATAATTTGGGGAAAGCCGGACAGGTGGTGCATCTCTTTGCAGCGTACCAAACGTATTCAAAGCAATAAGGGCAATAGAATTGGCTTGCTCTTGCAGCTGAGAAATGATGTCCATTCAGCACGTCCTAATCGACAAAGAAATTCAACAAACCATAAAAACAGTAGGAAACTGTGAAAGCAATTAGAAATAAAATCAGCACGATGGCATTCAGATTTAAGATAAACTTGATAATAAGGCGATAGAAAATATTAGTGAAAATATCCACCTACATCAGTAAACTTATACATAAACAAAGAAACATTTATACTTGGCCAGGGAAACTAGCCCACTTACCTCCTGTTTCATTGTACGAGCCATTAAAGTTTGTACACAAACAAAGAAAATTTTATGCTTAGCCGTGGAAACTAACCTACATACTCCTGTTTTGATTCATCAAAGTTTGTGAATGTTTGGAATTGGCCGACTACAAAACCACCACTAGTTGTAACATGTAGACGACGGCTTGTAGTTGAAAAGAAAGAAGCCACAACAAACCATGAAAAAGCAACCCCTTTTAAAAACTTCATTGGTTTAAGAATTGAATGGAAAAAGATAACATCGAGAGGTGACAAAACATTTTAGAGTCCAAGATTCCTAGCGTACATCAAGCATGCGAAGTAGATATAGATGTAATCAACGGATGCAGCTAAGTATTCACGAAAAAACAAGCAATTAATCTAAAAACAATCATATAATAGTTTCAACAGAAACTTAAAAGTTGCAAGAATTCATTTCATACTAAAATATTCTGACGTTCTACTTGAGATTCAAAACAAAAAAGTTAAAGATCACAAAAGACAAATGATAAAAATTTCATCCAAAAAAATCATATTAGAATATATCTGATAAAATCCAATCACACTTTTCAGCCAATAACAATAAATGAATAGGAGAAGGAAGACTTGTCGCATGCCTTAGGAGCCTTCATTTATTATTGCTAAAGCTTTTATCCCTCGCTTTTTCTCTCGTTGTCTATCCCAATCAATTGTTTACCCACCGTATATGCTTGTTGCTCGCTCACTCACCTCAATGATATCGTGATGCCCTAAATCCTAATTCGGGAATTTAGCATCAAGTAAGGCAGAGGGGCTATGAAATTAGGTTGGGTGGTTTGGTTTGGATTGACCTAATATGAGTTATTACATTCTCCACACCTTAAGTAAATTTCATCCCTGAAATTCAAACTAAATAAATATAATACAAGCAATAATTCTTACCCACATACTTAAAATATAAAGCATAAATTTCACTACAACATTGGCACAAACATCAAGCATAAGCTCAAGCATTATAAATTATATTGAGTGTAATAATCCATTGGCATCGAATCATCGAGAAGAGCAACAAAAAATGGTGCAAATTTACAATATATTGGTTTTACATTTTAAATATCACATCAAAAGCATAATGTAAACATAAAGATTGAAATGTGAAACTGATGTATTGTAGATTTTAAACTTGGTGGATAATCTATTCACCCATAAGCACCAAAAGATCCTTGTGCTGAAATTTTATTATGATGGTTCGCTAAGGGCACCCCAAAGATCACTAGGTTAGTGGAGAGATTTTCTATAAAGCTTAAGCAAAAGAAATATGGTCGATCCAAGGAATTTGAAAGGTGGTGGAAGGATCATTACTCTACTTACCCTATCATGGGACTCAACAACATAAATAATCACCTCGAAATCCTTAGTCTTCTCATTAACTACCTATTATATTGCTTCTCATCAAAATCCTTATCATCCTCAATCATCTAGGGTTTATCTGCTCAACTTGGTCAAGCTTTCTCCATGTATCAACATCATATCCTTTGTCATTACTTTGTCAAGTTCCGTATCTCTTAGAGACAACCATTCAACATTAATAATAGTATTGTATTTCTTAATGAACTTGGATTTTTAAAGTTTTATATGCAACATCATTTATAGGTGCAACATCCCTTGTAGCTTTCTTTTTGTCAATGCTTTAGTTTATTTAATGAATACCTAAAAATCCAAAGCACCAGGGATGTACAAATTTTCCCCTATTACATCCATTTAATTGAGGTACCTTCCATTAATATGTCCTCATAACTTTGAGTATGGTGGCCCCTTATTTAATAGTTATTTGATTATCTATGCCAACTTTTAGACTTATTCTCACATTCTTCAAAGAAATGAAACAGGAAAGTAGCTCATGACACCCAATTTTATAGATCATTACTTTGGCGACCTTAGCATCCTAAATGAAAATAAAGATTTTTTTTATCGGTGTATTAGTAAAATCAAAGTGAGAGAGACTTTAAAGAAAATGAAGTGTGAAAAAGTTGTTGGACCTGAAGATATTCCATTAGATGTGTGGAAATGCTTAGGAGATCAATGAATTTCTTGGCTTGCTAAACTTTTTAATATTATTTTGAGGACTTAAAAGATGTCAAATGAGTGAAGAATGAGTGTATTGATTACTATTTTTAAGAATGAAGGTGATGCACAAGATTGTGCGAATTATAGAGGAATTAAGTTCATGTGTCATACTTTAAACCTATGAGAAAGAGTTATGGAGCATAGATTACGACATGATACTAATGTTTATCATCAATTTGGATTCAAGCCGGCAGATCTACTATGGAAGCTATACATTTATTGAGAAGTTTGATAGAGAATTAAAGAGAGAATAAGGAGGATCATCATATTATATGTATTAATTTAGAGAAAACATATGATAAACTTCCAAGAGAAGTGCTATGGAGAGTTTTAGAAAAAAAAGGGTTAATAATACTTATATTCAAGTCATTCAGGATATGCATGTAGGAGTTGTTACTTGTGTTCAAACACAAGGTGGTTTGACCAAGTATTTTCCTATTTTTGTTGGATTACATCAAGGATCAGCCTTAAGTTCATATCTTTTTGCTTTAGTCATGGATGTTCTCACTAGACATTTGCAAGAAGATGCACTTGGTGTATGCTTTTTGCTGATGATATTCTTCTTGCCGATAAGATTAGAGAGAGAGTTGAAGGTAAACTTGAATTATGGAGGTCAACCTTATAGTCTAAAGGTTTTCGTTGAGTAGATCTGAAACTGAATACATGAAGTATAATTTTACTAGTAATAAATCAAGTGGGGGAATTGTGACTTTGGGTGATCAAGTCATTAATAAGAGTACATGTTTTAGATATTTTGGGACTATTGTTCAGATTGATGGTGAAAAATATGAGGATATTATTAGTAGAATTCAAGTTAGATGGTAGATGGTTGAAGTAGAGGAATGCATCGGGCTTGTTGTGTAATAGAAAAGTCACCCTCAAACTTAAGGAAAAATTCTATAAGATGGTGATGTAACCTAAAATGCTTTATTTTTTTTTTAACCTAAAATGCTTTATGGTGCAAAATGTTGGTCATTAAAAGAAAAGCATAATATTAAGTTAAAAAGTGTTGCAAAGATGAGGATGCTTAGGTGGATGAGTGGCTTTAATCTTAGAGACAAAATATTAAATGAGCATATACGTGAAAAGGTTGGAGTAGCTCCAATGGAAGATAAGATTAGAGAGAGTCACCTTAGATGATTTGGTCACATAAAACGGTGACCTCCCGATGACCATGTTAGGAAAGTAGATGTATTAAATTTGACTAATGCTAAGAAAAATAGAGGTAGACCTAAAAAGACTTGGTTAGAAAATATTAAAAATGACATTTCTTTATTAGATTTAAATGAGAAATTAACTCTTAATAGGACACAATGGAGAAAAATGATTCATGTAGCCGACCCCACGTAGTGAGATAAAGATTTTTTTTATCGGTGTATTAGTAAAATCAAAGTGAGAGAGACTTTAAAGAAAATGAAGTGTGGAAAAGTTGTTGGACCTGATGATATTCCATTAGATGTTTGGAAATGCTTAGGAGATAAATGAGTTTATTGGCTTGCTAAATTTTTTCATATTATTTTGAGGACTAAAAAGATGTCAAATAAGTGAAGAATGAGTGTATTGATTCTTATTTTTAAGAATGAAGGTGACACACAAGATTGTGCGAATTATAGAGGAATTAAGTTAATGTGTCATACTTTAAACCTATGGGAAAGAGTTATGGAGCATAGTTTACGACATGATACTATTGTTTATCATCAATTTGGATTCAAGTAGGGCAGATCTACTATGGAAGCTATACATTTATTGAGAAGTTTGATAGAGAAGTAAAAATAGAATAAGGAGGATCATCATATTATATGTATTAATTTAGAGAAAACATATGATAAATTTCCAAGAGAAGTGCTATGGAGAGTTCTAGAAAAAAAGGGTTAATAATACTTATATTCAAGTCATTCAGGATATGCATACAAGAGCTGTTACTTGTGTAACTGTGTTCAAACACAAGGTGGTTTGACCAAGTATTTTCCTATTTTGTTGGATTACATCAAGGATCAGCCTTAAGTTCATATCTTTTTGCTTTAGTCATGGATGTTCTCACTAGACATTTGCAAGAGGATGCACTTAGTGTATGCTTTTTGCTAATGATATTCTTCTTGCCGATAAGATTAGAGAGAGAGTTGAAGGTAAACTTGAATTATGGAGGTCAACCCTAGAGTGATGAGGACATCGGATATAAACGGCTACGATCTTGAGCTATAGACCTAAGCTATTTTATCACCTTAATGTTATCTTATCGTTTACATCAATAGAGGATTTTGCTTAACATTGCTCTCTAAAATTTACAAGTGCAAACTTCCTTAAGCAACTCATCTTTCGTTTGGATTGTTTCACATCATAGAGTCTAAAGGTTTTCGTAGAGTATGTCTAAAACTGAATATATGAAGTATAAGTTTACTAGTAATAAATCAAGTGGGGGGATTGTGACTTTGGGCGATCAAGTCATTAATAAGAGTACATGTTGTAGTATTTTGGGACTATTGTTAAAATTGATGATGAAATATATGGGGATATTATTAGTAGAATTCAAGTTAGATGGTTGAAGTAGAGGAATGCATTGAGCTTGTTGTGTAATAGAAAAGTCACACTCAAACTTAATGAAAAATTCTATAAAATGGTGATGTAACCTAAAATGCTTTATTTATTATTTTTTTTTTAACCTAAAATGCTTTATGGTGCAAAATGTTGGTCATTAAAAGAGAAGCATAATATTAAGTTAAGTGTTGCAGAGATGAGGATGCTTAGGTGGATGAGTGGCTTTAATCTTAGAGATAGAATATGAAATGAGCATATACGTGAAAAGGTTGGAGTAGCTCCAATGGAAGATAAGATTAGAGAGAGTCACCTTAGATGGTTTGGTCACATAAAACGGTGGCCTCCCGATGACCATGTTAGGAAAGTAGATGTATTAAATTTGACTTATGTTAAGAAAAATAGAGGTATACCTAAAAACACTTGGTTAGAAAATATTAGAAATGACCTTTCTTTATTAGATTTAAATGAGAAATTAACTCTTAATAGGACACAATGAAAAAAAATGATTCATGTAGCCGACCCCACGTAGTGGGATAAAGGCTTGATGTTGTTGTTGTATTACTTTGGGTTCCTTTTTAGATGACTTTATAGCAAAACAAAGCACCTTAAAATCCATAAACTTCTTCGTAAAATGAGTCTTAGATTTCTCCATGTATGAAGCCCCACCATCCTCGATTATATCAGGGCTTGTTTGCCTAACATGGCTAATCTTACTCCTAGTATCAACACTGTCTCTTTTATAGTTGATGTTAGGCTCCATTGCACTCATAATCAACCCTTCAGCATTAATAGCAAGCTCATAATCATTTGCAATGAAATTTTTGGTAACGAACAACCTTCTAAGACTCTACCTCCTTGAGGGTCTTATCTCCCACATTAATAATAGTCACATCATTCCTTATGGCATTCTCATTGTTGACAACTCCAATTTCTTTCATGATTGTTTCAAAAGCCTAGGAATTGGCAAAACCACTCCCCAATGTCATCTAGCAGATTTGAAATTAGTTCATAATTATAAGTCTTGCTCTAAGGCATGTTGAAATTCAAATTATTGAAGTGCATGGCCACTTGAGTTTGCAGGTAGGGTGTAAGGGTGTCAAATTGACCACTTTGTTCTACTCTTGGAGCTGTAATAGTCTTGCACTCAATTATTGGAAGTACTTTCAGGATTTTCATTGACTTGCCCGTTCCCATAATGGTAGTCTTCATAGCATCAACAACATCCTTTGAAATTAACCGATGATATTTGATCTCAATATTATATTTAATTTCCTTATATCTGAAGAAATAAGGCAATCACTAAAGCATTAAGTTGCCTAGAGCTACACTTCTCATAAGTTACCTAAGAGCTATGTTGCACCGATACACCTATTTATGAAGGCGTGCTGTATCCGATACACCGATACACGTATACGCCTCCGATATGCCATCGATACGTGTCGGATACACCAAACAAGTATCCAATTAAAATACTATTTAATTTCAAAAGGACACGCGTATCGGATACGCGTATCCGTTGAAAAACAAAAGGAAATCCAAAAAAAAAGACGCATTGTATTTACTTCCGGGGCTGTGAGCAAGGTTCTCTCATTTCCGAGATGGATTTAAGTCTCTTGATTATATAAGAATTTTAGAAATTACTAATCTTTCACTTGATGAGCCTGAATTAGAAGCTATGATATTTATTGAAGATGATATAAAAGTTCAAAGACAAACCAATGAAGAAGCTAATCATATCATTCCTTCTATTGAATAGTTGAAACTTCATGTGCTAGATAATTTATGTTTATGCTTTTGTTGTTGTACTAGACATTTGATGTTTTATTATATTTTGATATTATAAGCTACAAGGCTACAAATGATATTGTTGTTTTTTTTTTTGTAATTTCAAATATTATGCTTTGATTGTTTTCTTAATTTTTATGTATGATTTATAAATTATAATGTCGTGTCCGCGCCGTACCCGTATCCTATATTTTTAAGAATTGACGTGTCTCGTATCTGTATCGTGTCGTATCCGTGTCGCCGTATCCGTATCGGTGCAACATAGCCTAAGAGCAAACCTCAACTTAGCTATCAATTCTAAGCCCCAAGCGTGACATAAAGACTCACAAAGTTTGACCACTCATTGAGAGAATTCACGTGATGTACTCGTTAATTCATCAAAACATGCTCTTATATTATACTCGCCAATAGCGTTCTTGCTTTGAAGCTTACTTCATGCCTAAATAGTCCATCGTATATCTAACTGCAATTGATTCTATATTTTTGTTTTTATTTAAATGTATTTATGTCACCAACTCTACGACAACTACCTTCTCTCCACCTATAATTAGGGCATTAATGGTCAAATGCATGCCTACAAAATAATAAATCTAAGGCAAAATCCAATGCTTAAATTGAGATCTCTATCTTTTTATTTCAATTATATTACCCTAGATTAAACTCATCATTAGTTAGTCAAGGAAATTCAAATAAATTCTTTATATATTAATTCTCTTAGAAATCCTCTCCAATCTGGTTCTCTCTTTCTTCCTCAAATATTTTGGGCATGATTTGTTTTCTAATAAAATTTTCATATTTTTTAAATAATATTTTTAAATAAACATATAACACAATAAAATTAAATTGAGGTTTAAATTTTAGTTATTTTTAAATAGTGATTATGAAGTAGGGGTGTAAATAAATTGAGATTATCTCGAGCCACAACAAATTCATGCTTGTCTTTTTAGTCAAAAAAGCAGTTTGAACTCAACCTTGAGCTCAAGTCAAGCCCATAGAATGAGCTTGAGCTCAGCTCATGCTTCTATTCCTATAGCACGACAACTCTCTAAAAAAGTATCAACTGAGGAAGTTGTAATAGGAACTTGCTGCATAAGGATCAACAAGTCAAATGGAGTAAGTCATGGCATGATTATGTTGGGGAAGGCAATAACAAGAATAAACTAGTTCAGAAAGTCGCAGCAAGATTTCATAGCAGACGGATGGAAGAAGAAGAAGAGGAATCCGCCATGGGGCTTGTTGAATAAAAAATGAATTGACCTGCTTTTGTATGCATAAAGAATTACATTCATGTGAATAGCTCATTTCTAATGCATTGGATGAGACCTTAAGGGCCTGTTTGGATGCAAGACTTAGGCAAGATTTGAGCTAAATCCTGTCAAAGGCCAAAAAATATAAAGTAAATTTCACGGTAAGTAATCTCTACTACACGGCGTTTTCGCCAATTTTGCCCTAAGGGGCTGTTTGGTATGCGGATTTAGGCCGGATTTGGGCGAAATCCAGCCAAACGGCCTAAAATGCAAAATCAAATCTCATGGTAAATCAAAGCCACGGTTGACAGAAAATTCCCTCTTTTCGTGGTAAATCCCGGATTTACGAAATCCTCTGGTTCGGCGGATTTAAGGGATTTGGTCGAAGAAGCGCGCGAAAGGGAGAAAGTTACCTTCACACAGCAAGCGAGCTCCCGTTGTTGCTTCAGATAAAAAAAAATGTCGTAACTTCCGATCCAACAGAACAGGAAGGTAATATCGTCGAAGGAGCAAAGTCGCACGGCGAGGAAGAAGAACCAGTGAAAAATTCTACACTCGTGCGAAGGAATAAAGCCGACCGAACGAAATAGAGGAAGGGGAAGTAAAACCTACTTCTAATTGTTGGATATTTTAATTATTATAATTTAAAATATTAATAATTAATTGAAATTAATTAAATAATATTTAAATAATTGATAAAATTATTAATATCTCCCGAGCCAGCACCAGAAGTTTCAGCCAAGATATTCAAAGCAAAAATTAATCTACGAACATGGTGAACTTCTAATTACCTGTATACACCACTGCCTCGAAAGAACAGTCGCACGAGTTTGATTTTGAGTTTGGATAGATCATTTGCTTCTCAAAGGAGCGGAGCGTTTCATTTTAGTCTTAATTAAATACTTAGTTATTTTAAATAATTAGTATGATTAAATATGATCTTAAAAAAAATTATTATAAAATATTATAAATAATAATTAAATAATTAATTAGTATTAAAGACTCTACTATACATATTATATATATATATATATATAATTTTTTATGTTATATATTTTAATAATTAACATCTAAATATTTAAAGTAAAATAAAATAATTATAATTTGTGTATAATATAACTAATGAAAATAATTAATTTGCAAGATCAAGGGCAAATACTTGCTAAATTTTCTCAGAGAAACACAAGTTGAAGAGCCATGGAATCGAGCCGGACAGGGACCGCAAAACCCCCAAAGCACAGCAAGGTCCCCACTTTCATTTCTGCATCCGCCGTCAAACTTACTGCCGGCGGAAACAGAGTGAATGGCTTTCCCTGCTGCGTCGGCAGAATTCATCAATTGCAGTCGCTGCCTTGGCGCACTCGCACCTCATATCAACCGAGCCACGCCAAGCCGCTACTGGATAGGCTCTATCCGACTGAGCCGCCCATCACTTTCTCCATTATCTTTACGCATCACCGGGACTTTGGACCTTTTCAAAGCCTTCTCCACGCGGCCGCTATCCTTGTCCTCCTCGCTGTCTCCCCCTCTTTCAGATCACCGATATCCTATCCATCGCAGGTGGCTGACGGAGAAAGTTGGAGAGATGCCGTTCGAGAAGATCAAGGTTACCAATCCAATCGTGGAGATGGACGGTTCGTGGGTTTCTCTCTCCTTCACAACCTTCCTTTGCTTCATTCATTTTTTGATCCATTTTTCAATAACAAATATCATGCATCAGGCAATTCATGTTACATTTGATCACGGTTGATTATTTAGTATCTGTGGTGTGGATTCATGCACCGTGGTTCTATGCTCTACTTCAACATAATATTATAGCAAGTCTTGAATCGTTGAATCCCAAAGAGTGAGAGAATGATATAGACGTTCAGAAGACAAGTTAATAATTTTCATGCCTGTTGTAGTCTATGGTGGATGACCTGCGTCATGAAATTACATTTGACAATAGTTAACGGTTAAGTCGCGTGCGGTGTGGATTCACTCCAATGTGACTGTGTACTTAGAACATTGGCTATATAATATTGGTTAAATTTTCTCTATCAGTATGGGGTTTTGCAGCAGTGGAGTAGTGCAAGGGATCTATAATAAGCAGAAACCTGTACCATTTTTGTGGCTTTTCCTGTTTTTGTTTTCTTGGGAGTCTAAGGGAGGTTAATAGGATGATATTATTTTACACCTGCTCTCCTGGATTTTACGTGATTCTACATTGTTTTGATTTTAGGTGCAACTGGAATCATTGAAGTGTTTGTGTTGAATTAGAAGATGAAGCATAAGAAGCTATGCCTGTTTTTACCTTGAAAACAATCCCTTTTGATTGGATGAATCTGCTTCCTCTCCGTTCTTTTAAAGTTAGCGGCAGAAGCTAGTTAAAACAAGAGTGGCAAAAATGTTTATCCTAATTTTGGGTGGGCAAATTTTTCTCATTTTACATGACTACAGGTGGATTTAAAAGTGAAGTTTCTGTAATATACATGACCATAAGATGATTTATCACAACCATCGAAGGAATGAGGACCACTCTTAGTCACCCCTGATTCCAACAATGTGTTTAGCCAAACTCTTAAATTTATTGTTGACGCACTATTTGGAAGAGGGAAGTTGCTTCTTTCTGCATTTGTTGGATGAAGATTTGCTATGTGGGCTCAAGCACTGTTAGAGGTTTATTTTTGGGCGGTGTGGTTGGTTGTTTGCTTGGAGGCACGAAAAAACGACTGCAAATTAGGGGGCAGGAGGAGATTTGGAAGGGAAGAGCTGGAACGGTGTATTGACAGGCTCTGATGAATGAGTGGATGAAGGTGTTGATGGCCAGAGAGGGTTTTTTTTTTTTTTGGATCATGCAATTTGCAGAGATATTAATTGAACACCAGTTTGATTACTTACTTACAACTAGTCTTGTTTACCTTGTATGTACAGTTTTCACAACTAATAGATTCCATGTACATTTTTAAAGTGTTTGGATGTTTTATGGTTATATGTGATCCACACATAATGTAAAGAAAATGAATGTCATTGTTTCTCACATATTATCAATTTCAATATTTTATTTTATGTTGATTTTCATGGTTTATAATTACTTATGATCACATTTGGTGCATAAAGCATGCCATCAACGTGATTGTTCTTTTAAGAATTATATTGCCATCCCTTTTAATTGTCATTAAAATGGTTGTTTTGTTTTAGTCTAAAAGTTTTCATTTGAGTAGATCTAAAACCAAATATATGGAGTGCAATTTTAGTAGCAATACATCTAGTGGGGGGATTGTAACTTTGGGCGATCAAGTTATCAAAAAGAGTACATGTTTTAGATATCTTGGGTATGTTTCTCAAAGTGATGTTGAAATAGATGGGGATATTATTAGTATAATTTAAGTTGAATGGTTGAAGTGGAGGAATGCATCGGGCCTGTTGTGTGATAGAAAAACACCCCTCAAACTTAAGGGGAAATTCTATAAGATGGTGGTGAGACCTACAATGCTTTATGATGCAGAATGTTGGCCATTTAAAGAGAAATATAAAATTAAGTGTTGTAGAGATGAGGATGCTCAGGGAGATGAGTGACTTTGCACTTAGAGACAAAATATAAAACGATTATATAAGTGAAAAGGTTGGAGTAGCTCCAGTGGCAGATAAGATTAGAGAGAGTTGCCTTAGATGGTTTGGTTACATAAATGTTGGCATTCCGATGACCTAGTTAGGAGAGTAGATATATTAGATCTGGTCTATGTTAAGAAAGGTAGACTTGACTAGAAAGCATTAGAAATAATATTTTTTAAGATATTTAAATTAGAATTTTATTCTTAATAGGGCACAATGAAGAAAAATGATTTATGTAGCCGACCCCATTTAGTGGGATACAAGCTTGATGATGATGTTATTGTTGTTGTGAAGTGGTTTTTTCTATCAAGAAGAGTCTTCGTTTTGACTTTGGTATTTACTTTCAAATATACAAGAACAAGGACTTGGGTTGAAACTTTCAGATTACTATAACAGAGGCTTACTTGAGAAGTAAATTGGCTTGGTTAAAGGATGCTTATTGTGTTATTTTTCTAAGGCATGAATGAGGATCATTTTGCACGTTAAGTACCACATAATGCACATTTAATTGGTTTGCTCTATCAGAAAAGGAAATGGAATCATTGAGTTATTACTTGTGTTCATGTAATAGCCAATTTATGGGGATGATAATTCTACAAAGTGGTATTATTTTATTGTATGCATAGTAGAAAAACATCTGCCGATCCCACGTAGTGGAATAAAGTAGAAAAACATCCGGAGATTCTTATGTAAATTTCATGTTTAATCAGATGGCAGGCTTGCTTAAAGAATGATATAAGTTTGATGCATGAACCCTGTTGCTAATCATTGCTTTATTGTATCACTAATACAGAGCAATTGAAAGAAAAAAAAAAACGTCCAATCACATGCATTCAAGATAGCCATGATGTAGATCCAGGATTTGATTTTAGAAATTTAACAAAAGATTATTCAAGTAAGATAATTGCAAATTTAATCTTGTTCTCAATTCTAGCTTTTAGGAAATCTTAGTTGTTAACTACGATTAGGCAAGCACTTACACCTAAATTAGCAAGACCAAGAAAAATAACAACTTAAAGAAACGTAAAGCAAATGAAGAGACCAACTAGAATCCCAAGGTTAACAAAGCGATTGTCTCACCTTGAGGCCGCTCTCGTTTACCTACGCCTAGGCTTGTTGGGAGAAGAAGAACCACACGATGGATGAGATCACTCCTAGAGTGAGGGTGCCGTAGATCCGTAGGGAGGAAGAGGTCGGCGCGGGTCGTGGAGGTGGTGGAAGGCGGCGGCCTTCAACGATCCAAGT